TTTGTGGGGGTTTCTTTCCTCAGCAAGCTGAAACGAGATCTACGTCGTTTTTGGGAATGAAATCCGTTTGCTTCTCATTATTTTTGACAACATTCGCACACCCTTAGCTAATCAATCCAGTCACGCGCTGCACTTAAAAGTGTTTTATAGAGGACCAGATGATAAGAGCACAGGGGTGTAAACACACACAGCTTATCATCCAGCAGCAGAGATCGCCGTCCCGTACGGTTCACAAGCCCACATCAAAATATTATTAAAACTAAAACATAGACAACACTGTATTAGTTGTTATCTACAGCGATTGGATTCTGATATGCTGGAGGCTTTCCTGGGTCCATCCAAAAGCTAGAGGGCAATGCACCACTGAAGCTCTTCTTCTGTCACATGGCAGGCTGATGACAAGAATAGATCTTGACCATGATCCTCATGCATCTGATCTGCTACTAAGAGGAGGGGATAATGAACAACCCAAATATGAATTTCCCCTTGGGTAGATCAAGAATTTCAAAGGAATTCTGTTTGTTTTAGGTTAGTTTAGGTGAATTCAGTTTTGATATTGGTTGATCTGTATAAGAGTCACACACACACACACACACACACACACACACCACCCAATGTCTGTATTATCAGAAAATGAGTTTATATTGGGCGGATACATGCACTGACACAGACTGACACCACAATAAATTACATAAACACATGGGCTCAAATCTGTAAACTCAGTCTAGTTAGAAAAAAAGTGGGTTTACTGGTTTAATCAACATGAAATCATACGAGTATTTCTGAGTGCTTTTTAATACAAGGATCACAAAATGAAAAGGTTATAGCAGCAGTAGTTACTGCCATGTCAGCATCTAAGGCTATCTTCACGGCAAAAGCTGAGAAAAATACAAGAGTTAGCCTACATAAATACAAAATAAAAACCAAGCACACTCAAAAATACAGCAGTTAAAATTATACAAGATTTTTTTAAATTCCATGAAGTTGTAAATTGAATTTATACATTTAAGGCATAAATATACAATGTAGAAACTGAAGACTTCACTTTGTCTCAAAGTTTAAATGTGAATGTGTGTGTAATTCAATAAGTTTAATTATAACATAATTAAAATATTTATTATATAACAGGTCAATTAGTTTATTATGGATTTGATTTATTTGATAAGCTAATTAACATCCCCCAGTAAAAGTAAAAATATCCCTGAAAAACAATTTCTGATCAAATATTGACCCTTAACAAAAGTTCATTTCTGACACGGTTCAACACTTTATTGATATATTTAATATTTTTTATTGATATTGCTCGAATTGTTTATTCCAGAAACGGGCAAATCGCTGGCCGTGGCTAGCTACATCCTCTCGACAGACCAGAAGAAACCCGTGCCGTGACCCCCAAACACACACACTTTCCCCTCGATTTAAGTTGACCAGGTGTGTGTTTGTGTGTATGAGACGCTGATTTAACGTTACCTGTTTTGGCTTTAGAGTCTGCAGGAGTCGGGCCTGTAGAGCTGGAACGGGGCGGGATCTTCGTGCTGCTGCTGTTGTTTGCGTTTGGGTTTTTCTCCATATTGAGGCCTAACTCCGGGGAAAGAGCCTTCGAGCTCTCTAGCATGAAACGGGGTAAACGGGGAGAACAACGGGCTGTTGCGAATGCAGGTCAGGCGACGAAGGCCCTTATTCGTTTCTGTCAAACGCGGAGACCCCATTACGGCGACATCTTGACCACAAACAAACCGAGAGAAAAACAGAGACACAAGCTAAATGTCTCGGTAAAAAGCTGTGTGCTAACACAAAAAAACAAGTGCCCAAAAAGCGGGGCCTCGCCCCTTGAAAAGCGCCGACTTTCCTTAGCGTGGGAAATGTTGCGCCCCACAAGGCGTTAACCGCTTTCCAAAAGAGGAAAACGGATTAATAAATGGGTTTTAACCCAAATGTTTGTTCAGCTAAATAATATCAGGCATATGGCGACGAGTCGCCAAACGGGAACCGTAAACACCCGGATGAGGGTTATAAACCCGGCAGGGTTACGAAGTGCGCATGCGCGGATTCTGCCATTCTGATTGGTGCATTTGACCGCAAGACGTGATGTAATGCATGTGTAATCTCACATTCGCATACTTTTTATAGACAGTTTTACATGCAAAATTTCATATTCACAAATGTAAGTTCTCATGCAAAAAAAAAGTTTTTTTTCTTTTAGGAAGGAAACGGAGCATTATATTGATACTATACGATTTTTTTTATGAAACAAAAAAGCAATTAAAACGGTGAAAGTTTGTAAACGCTTTAATATTTTTATATACATTTGTATTTGTATACAGCCCCTCTAGTGTGAAATAGTTTATTTCATGTATAATGTTTATTGTTTATATCATGTATAGTGTTCGTCATATACATGTATTTGATCTTGTTAATAATAAAACAATTTAAAAAAAATTTTATTGACAGATAGTTCTACTTTTGCTATCAAAGCATTTATTGTAAACAGACGTTTACAGACATCGTATAACAAATAAGAAACCGCGTTAGATATTTTAATCAGTACAGAATAAATACATACACGTGACTTACACAGCACATAGTCAGAGTTCACAGTAATGTGAATGATGTACTCCATTTATAAATCACAAAATGCTCCAGAAAACAAAAACACAAATGCTTCATGTTTTATCAAAAATGTTAGGGCTCTACATTAACCCTTTACTATCAGTTTTACAAAGAACATTAAATATCAGATCATCTCCCTGATCACTGCATGGCTGTATGATGCTTTTTAGTTTTTAGGAGGGGTTTTGGGTATTCCAGGTCCTCCTCTCTGACGTTACTCAGGGAACAGCTCAGGATCACTCTCCTAACCTCCTGTTTCTCGGCTGTGTTGTGGACGGGAAGAGAAAGAGAGCTTGTGTATACAGTATGTGACTCTTCTACATCAGTGGTTCTCAAACTTTGCAGATTAAAAGAATAGCATAAATAAAAAATGAGCATTCTGTCACCATTTATTACTCACCCTTTTTTCTTCTGCTGAACACAGAGGCTTCAGCAGAAAAAAGAAACGCGTACAGGTTTATAGTATTGTAATTTCCAGATATGTATGGCTTGCCACCTGGGGACACTCTTTTCCAAAATAAATAAATATACTGGTCTTGTGCTGAAAATTATGGAAGCCCTTAAAGGCCATGCATTATTTAATTGTTTTTCTTTGCTGTCTTCTTGTATTTTTTTATCATTTGAGTCACTTTACAAAAGTTGCTAAAAGCTGCCAAATACTTTTTAAAAATAGCTAAATTTGTTGCTAGGTGCTTTTTGAAAAAAAAGTTGCTTGGGTAGTCTGAAAAGTTGCTGAATCTAGCAACAAAATTGCTAAGTTGGCAACACTGGCACCTTCTGGCCTCTGTTCTCAAGGCAGGTGATGAAAGAAAGGGCAGACCAGATGAGTCGATAGTGTTTTTTCCTGCTGCGCATGAGGACCACTCCAGTGTGAGCGTTCAGGTATTTCACTATAAGAGATTTGACAAGATTTTAGCTTTCTGTAATGAGACATTGAACTTAGATAGCCTAAATACCTGGATGGGTCACAGAATGACGAGAGATCAGAACTGTTTAAAAGTTAACAAAAAAAATTTGCTAAGTAACTTTTTTATAAACATTTGGATTCTAACAAATTTTAAACAAAGAAAGGAAAAATGTCTGCATGTGTGTTTGCAGTATCATGTATTGTGGTGATGCTAAAAGGTTCACATGGCATGTGATGAATGATTATCTCAAGCAGAGTCTGTGTATCATAACATTGGTTTTAATCACATCATTTTATTCACATCGACTATATTGCAAAATTATTATTATTTTAATTTATTGCCTATTCTCTTTACTATTATATATTTAATTGTATTATGTCAAATTATATGTTATTGTGTGTCTGTACTCTTTCTTTGCTCTGGAAGCTCCTGTCATCAAGACAAATTCCTTGTTTGTGTAAATACACTTGGCAATAAAGCTCATTCTGGTTATGATTCTGAATAATGACAATGTGTGTGTACATTTTTTCCAGTTGAAATATTTACAGATATACAATCATGTTGAATTTCAGTCCCACAAAAATGCAGGCCCTGAAAATACAATGCTTTAGAGTTAGGCACTGTTAATGTAATATTATTATTGCAATTTATTTAATAACATATTACCTGACAGAGGGCGCTATACAACAGCGAATACTTTACTTGAAGGTTGCTTGAGGTTGCCCATTAGTTGTCACTGAAAATATAAACCATATTGTTAGTATTTTTTATACACTAATATTTCCAACATTAATAATACCGATACGATTATTATTAATAGGAATAACATAAACAAAGAAACACCTGTTTTAGTATTATGTGGGCTATTTAATATTAACCACGAAATAGCTTACACATAACTTTTTATATAAATATAATTATTGTTCAGCGGTCACTTTTTAATGTTCTTGGAAAGTAACACAGACGCACAAAACATAACTGTCTTTGTAGCACAAGTGCAGCCAGCGGTTCCCCGCCTCGCGTTGGCACAAAGTGTTGGAGATGGTGATAATGGGTGTGCGCGCGTCTCCACCAAAGAACTGCGCGGAGCAAAGCTCGACCTGTGCGTCACAACATACACAACTCTGCATGGCACCGACCTGTAATCATGGAGCAGTAAACCTGTGTTCTTGTGGATCTAGACTCATAATTCCAGGCTAAGGATACAGGTGCTTTCAGAGACGCCAAATCATATCATAAGGTGGCAGCTGTGCAAAAAAAGGGACTTGGGTTAGTTAATGAAAAATGTGGATCTGCGCAAGTATTTTAACTTATGTGCTGTTTTTGGCAAGAGATGCAAGAGCTATGAGCAAGGTAAGATGTGTTTCATGTGTAGATTTCCTTTTATTTAGAACAACACGCTTACATTTTACGCACAGCTTAATGCTAAATACGGTTTTGCAATAGCTAAACATGATTATTAGTGTATGATTTCATTTGCTTTGGTTCGATCTCGTTTCGATCACCTACTTGACAAGTGCATTTATCATCTGATTACTAGATTACTTTGTCTTTAGCACTGGCATGCCATTCGTTTGTTGCGTATGGTGTTTTTGGAAGAGCTGAAGACTTCAAATCTCCAGTCAAATTATTAAGAGCATACAGTAATTTCTTGATTTTGTAATCGCAATGGATGGGAGTGTCTGTATTTGCAGAATTCGTGAGATTTTGCCATTTTTCTAAAAATTCATCTGGGGATTGTGAAATGACGTATCCTGTAATCAGCGTTAATGAAACATGAAATTCCACAAAGGGCAAATGTAAAATGTTAATCTGTCTCAATAAAGGATCCGGGAACATGAAACCTCATTATACACTTCCGTTCAAATGTTTGAGGTCAATAAGTTTTATTTTATATTTTATTATTTTATTAACACATTTATTCAGCAAGTACCCATTAAACTGATGAAAGTGACTGGAGATATATATATATATAAGCACTATTTTAAATAGATGCAGTTCTTGTATCTTGAAAAAGTATCCTGAAAAAAAAAACCTGCACAATTGTTTTCAGCATTGATCTAAATGAAATTTTAAAATATAATAAAATAGTAAACAGAAAACAGAAAATGTTATTTTAAATCAACAATATTGCTGTTTTACTGTATTTTGATGAAATAATTGCAGCCTTGGTGAGCAAAACATAAAAATAGCAAAATTTAAATAAAATATAGTTAAACTTTTTTAATGTTATTATATTATATTATATTATTATATTGTATTATATTATATTATATAGTGACAATACAACAGTTAATTCTGGTCCTTGAATTTAATTGGCCAAATGTCTTTCCAAGAGTGCTGATATTTAGTCCAACAGCACTGGGATTTGCATCACTCGACTTGTACATGTTCATAGCGTTCCAGATCAGAGTGAGTGGTGCAACTGGACAGAAAAGCCCATATGGGAGAATGGGGGTTTTCACAGTCATTTTAACAGACAGATCACTCAGAATAAGTCAAACAACACTTAACAAATCAGCTTTCTCACACAATCTCCACTCCCAGAGCTGTAGGCAACATATTTTGGCACATATGCTCTGGTCTTGATGACTCCTGGCACTGCCAGTACATTCCAATCTTTAATCCTTGAGATGGCATGGCAATATAATTTAATTGGCATTTTTAGACCCCTGACCTTACTGTAATTCCAGTCCAGCTTTTTTGGGCTAACACTGTAAAAACTGGCTACAATGCTAAGCAGCATGCTTTATAGTTTACATGCACAATACATTGTAAAACACTTTACTGAATGGTAAAGATGACTCAGATGAGTGAGTATATCAAACCTCAGCTGTGTTAACAGCGCAGCTGATGTTGCTGATACAACCAGAGACAGATGTCCTTCAACAAAGTTTTTGGACAGACAGCATGACCGTCATTTTCTCAGAAAACCATGACATTTGTTTCAAAACTGACCCTGATAGGGTTTATAGTTTACATGCACAATACATTGTAAAACACTTTACTGAATGGTAAAGATGACTCAGATGAGTGAGTATATCAAACCTCAGCTGATGTTGCTGATACAACCAGAGACAGATGTCCTTCAACAAAGTTTTTGGACAGACAGCATGACCGTCATTTTCTCAGAAAACCATGACATTTGTTTCAAAACTGACCCTGATAGGGCGTGTTTTGGGCTTGATGCCTAGTATGGTAATTGGAGTTGAGTTCTGCTGGGGTTAAAAACAATATATGTCTGCTTACACAGCTGTAGCACTTAAGAGCAACCCTGTTGGTCCCAGAGAAACATGCCTACCCTCTTATGGCTGGGTGTGTGTGTGTGTGTGTGTGTGTGTGAGAGAGAGAGAGAGAGAGAGAGAGAGAGAGAGAGAGGTCTTGACTCATTGTAAATGATAGTCATCAACTCAGTAACCCTAACTAATTGTGTTATGTTGTGAATTTTTTTTTA